CTCAAACCCTCAGGCTCAGGCAATCCACTCACCTGAGGCTCCCAAAGTGCTGGGATTACAGGCTGAGCCACCAAGCCCAGCCAAGATTGTTTTTTACATAAAATTTAACATGACATAAAGAATGTCATGTTAGAGTCAGAGGTATTTCAATTTTTTTTTTCAGTTCTCACTTGTATAAACGAATGTTACTCAGGAAGGAAATAGAGGCTAGCAGCAAACTCCAGTCAACAGAGTACATGTGCAGCCATTAGATTTGCACTGCAGGTCACAACTATATTATTAAGACTTTTCTTTTCTTTTCTTTTCTTTTTTAGTTGGAGTCTCACTCTGTCACCTAGACTGGAGTGCAGTGGCCCCCTTGACCTGCTGGGCTCCGGCGATCCTTCCGCCTCAGCCTTCCAAGTAGCTGGAACTTCAGGCACGCGCTACCATGCCTGGCTAATTTTTTGATTTATTGTAGAGATGAGGTCTCGCCAAGTTGCCCAGGTGGGTCTTCAACCCATGGGCTCAGGCAATCCACTCACCTCGGCTTCCCAATGTGCTTGGATTACAGTCTGAGCCACCGAGCCCAGCCTTATTAAGACTTTTCTTGATCTGTTTTACTAAAGGTGTTAGATTGGTTACAGCAATAGCCCCTGTTAATGGCTTTCTGTTATCCATACCCTTTGCAATCTTACTTTGCAAGATGTGGAACTTATTTTTCCTCAACTCTTAAATCTGGGTTGGCTTTGTGACTTGCTTTAATCAACAGAATGTGGCAAAAGTGATGGTGTTTGTTTATTTAAGCTTGGCATTATGTTCTTTTCTCTCTCCTTTTTTTTCTATTATATTTATTTTTTATTTTAAAGATGTGGGGTACAATTCAGAATTAGGTATACAAGTGGTCATCATACGGGTAAAGTTTGGGCCTCCCTTTGGTCCCCACTTTGCCTGGTTTGAGATCAGGTACTCTTATTGATGTTGTTTCTTCCCCTTCCACCCTCATCTGGCAGTATCCCACTACTGCCAATCCCTTTCTTATAATATTATGGTAAATGTTCAGGGTCCGCTTATGAATGAGAACATGTGGTACTTTGTTCTTTGTTTCTGAAAAGTGATGGTGTTTATGGCTGAATTGCATCCTTCCAAAAAAGACATGTTGAAGTACCCCAGTACCTCAGAATGTGGCCTCATTTTGTAAATCTTTACAGAGGTAATCAAGTTAAAATAAGGTATTTAAGCAAGTCTTAATCCAGCATAACTGATATCCCTATAAAAGAAAGATTTAGACACAAAACCATGCACAGAGGGAAGGTAATGTGAAGAGATACAGAGAGAAGATGGTCATCTATACACCAATGAATGAATGCCTGAGGCTACAAAACTAGGAGAGAGACCTGAACCTAGTACCTTCAAAAGGAGCATAACCTTGTTGATACCTTCATTTCAGACTTCCAGCTTCCAGAATTGTGAGACAATAGTTGTTCTAAACCACTCATTTGTGGTATTTTGTTACAGCAGCCCTGGGAAACTAATACAGATGGCATGAGAGTTCTAAGGCTAAGCCTCAAAAGGCCTTCACTACTTCTCTGTCTCTCCCTCTTTTCTCTCCCTCTCTTTTACTCCACTTTTCTCTCCCTCTCGTTTACTCTTCTGCCCTCACCATAATACTCTGTCCCATCTAGTCTGAGATTAAGCCCAGAGTAACCTGCTAAAGATGAGACCAGTCTATAACCACCTGATCACAAGTGGTTCCCTTGAGTGAACACAGGTCGACCAGAACTACCCAGCAAACCACAGGCATGTGAACACTAATATATTCTTATTGTTTTAAGATAAATTTTGATATGGTTTGTTATATAGTATTATTATGCAACAAATAACTGATAGAAGAGAAAAAAATCATGCAAACAAAACAGTAATATGGACCAGGCATGGTGGCTCATGCCTGTAATCCCAGCATTTTGGGAGACAAAGGCGAGAGGATTGCCTGAGTCCAAGGGTTCAATACCAGCCTGGGCAAATTGGCAAAACCTCGTCTCTACAGTAAATCAAAAAAATGAGCCAGGCATGGTGGCTCGTGCCTGTAGTTCCAGCTACTTGGAGGCTGAGGCAGAAGGATCAACCTGAGCCCAGCAGGTAGAGGCTGCGGTGGTCCTGGGCGTGCCACTACACTCCAGCCTGGGTGACAGTCTCTTACATATTGCTCATTGACAGTGAGACTATGACTCAAAAAAAACACCAAAAAACAGCTGGGCTCGGTGGCTCAGCCTGTAATCCCATGCCTTTGGGAAGCTGAGGTGAGTGGATTGTCTGAGCCCGCGAGTTTGAGACCCGCCCGGGGAACTTGGTGAGACTTCATCTCTACAATAAATAAAAAAAAAAAAATCAGCCGGGCGTGGTAGCGCATGCCTGTAATTCCGGCTACTCAGAAGGCTGAGGCGGAAGGATTGCCAGAGCCTAGCAGGTTGAGGCTGCGGTGGCCGGGAGCGGCCACTGCACTCCAGTCTGGGAGACAGAGTGAGACTCCAACTCAAAAAACAAACAAAAAAACAATACAAAAAACCCAGCAATATGTAAGAGACACATTGTAATTTTAGAATGTTACCTATGGAAGAAATTGAATAAGAATAGAAAACAGAAAAGCAAAGAAATAGATAAAAGAACAAAAGGAGATTTTTGCCGAAGAAAGATGATACTATACAATGAACAAATTAATTAATCCAAACAAATTGAACCAAACAAAATACATAAATAAAAATTAAGAATGAGGTCCCAAGTGGGGCAAGAGGCATAGGTTGAATTATGTCCCCCCAAAATTTGTATATTGAAATCCTGAACTCTCATACCAAAAAATGTGATGGTATATGGAAATGGGGTAGTTGCAAATGCTATTAGTTAAGATGAAGTCATAGCCGGGCTCGGAGGCTCAGCCTGTAATCCTGCCCCTTTGGGAGGCTGAAGTGAGTGGATTGCCTGAGCCCGCGGGTTCGAGACCCACCTGGGCAACTCGGCGAGACCTCGTCTCTACAATAAATCAAAATTCGCCAGGCGTGGTAGCGCGTGCCTGTAGTTCCAGCTACTTGGAAGGCTGAGGCGGAAGGATCGCCAGAGCCCGGCAGGTCGAGGCTGTGGTGGCCGGGAGCGGCCACCGCACTTCAGTCTGGGCGACAGAGTGAGACTCCAACTCAAAAAAAAAAAAGATGAAGTCATTAGGGTGAGTTCTAATCCAATTTGACTGGTGTTCTTTTTTAAAAGGGGAAATTTGGACATTGAGACACATACTCAGGGAAAACACTGTTTGAAGATGAAGGCAGATCAGAATGATGCTTCTACAAGCCAAGGAATGCCAAAGATTTTCAGTAGCCATAAGAAAAGCTCGAAACAGATTCCTCACAGTTTTCAGAAGGAACAAACCTTGCCAGTACCTTGATTTCAGAGTTCTATCCTCCAAAACAGTAAGACAATAAATTTATGTTGCTTATTAAGTCACCTATTTTGTGACACCTTGTTACAGCAGCCCTAGAAAACTAATGCAAGTTGTGATGGGGAAGAAATTGCTCCTCTTCTACCCAAAAATGGATTACAAGAGTCTCCAAGATTTGAACTGAACGTGAGATGGTAGTCACCTTTCCATCGTCTACTCAGAATTTGTTGATATTTATTTTCTCAGACAATCCTTTCTCTCCAACAAAACATTTCTCATATTTTCAATTTTCATTAAGAAATATTCTAGGCCTGGCATGGTGGCTTAGCCTGTAATCCCAGCACTTTGGGAGGCTAAGGCAAGAGGACTGCCTGAGCCCGAGGGTTCAAGATCAACCCGGGCAACTTAGTGAGACTTCATCTCTACAATAAATCACCAAAAAAAAAAAAAACTAGCCAGGCATAGTGGCGTGCATCAGTAGTTCCAGCTACTTGGAAGGCTAAACTAGAACGATAGCCTGAGCCCAGCAGGTCGAGGCTGCAGTGGCCATAAATGTGCCACCCCACCCAGCCTGGGCAACAAGAGTGAAACTTCAATTTAAAAAAAAAATTATGCAGCCGGGCATGGTAGCGCATGCCTGTAATTCCGGCTACTCAGAAGGCTGAGGCGGAAGGATCGCCGGAGCCCAGCAGGTCGAGGCTGCGGTGGCCGGGAGCGGCCACTGCACTCCAGTCTGGGTGACAGAGTGAGACTCCAACTCAAAAAAAAAAAAAAAATTATGATTCAATATACTGACATAATTCACCTCATCAAGATGGAAACATATGGATGGGATCAAGCCAAATAACAATATTTTGAAATCTCTCTCTTTTTTAAATTGGAGTCTCACTCTGTCACCCAGATTGGAGCGCAGTGGCCACCCCAGTGTTGACCTGCTGGGCTCTGGCGATCGTTCCGCCTCAGCCTTCCAAGTAGTTGGAACTATAGACATGCGCTACCACGCCTGGCTAATTTTTGATTTTTTTGATTTATTGTAGAGATGAGGTCTCGCCAAGTTGCCTGGGTGGGTCTCGAACCCTCAGGCTCAGTCAATCTATTGGCCTCGGCCTCCCAAAGTGCTGGGATTACAGGCTAAGTCACTGAGCCCGGCCAATATTTTGAAATCTTAACCATTCACCACAACTCCTCTATTGATTGTTTCCACTTAAATGGTTAGGCCTATAATCCCGGTATCTCTCTGGTCACAAAGACACTAAAATGTTTCAAATAGTTTGATATGAGGAATAGGAGGTTGCACCTGAAGTTAATGATTAGCATCTCCATGTATGTATGATGGGAGGTAAGTGCAGAAATCTATTAGCTGATAATATTTTCTTGTGCTTATACCGTCCACCATTTCCTAAGTCCTAGGAGCTCCTTTATGTCAGCACCTACCTCAGAAGATTCCACATTAGAGTGGTACAAAGGATTTCTTAGTAGTTTATTTTCTGCTGACAATTGCCATTTCTCATACCTGTCCCATTTTGTCATGGCACCCATATTAACATATTGATAAATTGTTGTCTAACTAACCATACATACATCATTTCCGTACCTTCCATACTTTTCTCCTGTTCTTCCTCCAGTGAAATGATGGTTTCTGAAACCTCGTCAATCTCTTCTTCACCAGAGAACTCCGTGGTTTCTGAATACTCAGAGTCCTCTTGGGCATCATATCCAGTGTGCTCTGGGTCATCATAATCCTCCTCTTCCACAGTAGCTTCTGCTTCTTCAGGATATTCAACAGATTCTAGACATTCCTCTTTGCCTAAGTATAAAGAATCATCTGGCTCATCATATCTCTGCCCATCCCTTAAGTATGTAATAGTTGCTGGAGCTTCATATTCAACTTTCTCAACTGAATAAGGTATTGTGACTTCCGGTGTGTCATATTCCTTCTCATTCTCCCTGGAGGATAAAGCAGTTTCCCTATAACTAGTTTTCTTGTCCCTGAAAAACACTGAGGTTTCCATATCAAAGTGTTCTTTCTCTTTGATCTCAGGATTCTCCGACTGTTTCTTTCCAGAAGAGGAAATATCTTCTGAATTCTCGCTTACTTCCATTGACTGAGGAGATACTACATTCTCAAGTTTTAAAATTTCTGAAAAAGATGAGATTTGATTTTTTTGTTTTATATTTTATAATTAGTAAAAGGAAACTGTATAATAACTGGAGTTGCGGAGGCCTCAAAGCATCATCCCTGTTTTTTCTTTCACTGTAGGATAGACATACCTACCACCCCCTACAGAACTCGCATGGCAGCAAGTCAACTGTCCGAACTTTCTTTTTTCCACAAAAAAAAAAAATAAGATTACACCACTGTCTTGCTAAAAATCTTGGTCTTTCACAGCAACCTCACAGGATAAATGATTAAAACATAAAATGTTAATATTATGAACAATAGTGATTTATAGAATTACTGGGACCCACAATAGACACAAATTTCCTGGGGCCATTGCTAATAAAATCTGATCTCAAATAATTTCTAATCAGTAAGCAAATAGCTCTAATTTGAAAAAGTATGCCCTAGAAATAATAAAACCTATGTTTCTAAGCATACAAGTCTTGGCTTGCATTAGGGACCATGAACAGTAATCACCTTTTTATCTGAGCCCCTGACTCTCGAATATCCCTTAAAATAATCCTTAATATTTTTTTAGATTTTTAGAAAAGGAGCCACACTTATCTTTAGTGATAATTTACAGAATTGCAAAGTATTGCTACCTCATGGACCACTAGTTATCTTAGAACCATCTGAGAATTAACATTTTGCTTACTCCAGAAAACTGGAGTACTGCTGACATTCTTATCACCAAAAAAAAATGAAATTACTGATCTGCCATCTATGCATGCTAAAAAATTATTTTTCCTGTATTTTCAAAATGGCTACACTAAGAGAAAGATGCAGTTTGTGGTCTTGGGACTATTAATATCTGTGAATTTGTTTACTTGACAAAGAAACCCCATATTGCCATTATTAACAGTATTTTCTTTCCATCTGTGAAATTTCAGGATGTCAGTGCCGGAATAATGAGCAGTTTGTGCTAGCACTAAAACTACTGCAAGTTTTGGGTACAGTCTGAAAAACAAATTATCAGTCCCTTAAACCAACATGATGCATTGTTCCCTGCTTTTTAAATTCTGAACATGTCTTCTCTATCTCATATTTCAATGAAAACTATCTCCAAGAGAAAGACAAACAAAATTAAAAGACAATCATTTTCTTTCTCTTTTTTCCTAGAAAAATCTGCCCCCTCCCTCTTACCCCTCAAAATTAAAAATGTTAACTTACCGTGCCTTAAGCCCCAAATGGCAGCTGACTCTGGAAAAGTACTAAACAAACACTTGAGAAAATGCTGACAGGTCACCTCTCCTTTACTTTCTACCAAAATGAAAAGCTTCTGACTTTTCTTCAGGGGATCTGTAACAGTCTCCAAAGTCTCATACTCCTTCTCAGAAATCAGCCTCTGAGAGGTTAACTTGTCTAAGATAGAATCAGGATCATGTTGGACGATTTCAAGCAACTGTTTCTGTTCTCTTTCTATGATCTCTGAAGAAACATTCTGGGCAGCCATTCTTCCTGTTTCCTCTGGACCAGGAAATGAATTCTGAAACTATCCTGATAAACAAACAAGTAGGTGGCTCAAGCCTGTAATCCCAGCACTTTGGGAAAACAATAAAAAATTAAATTAAAATTTAAAAAATAAACAAATGTTAAAAAAATGAGGCAGACAAACAGCAATTCTATTTAGCAAGCATGAAATATGTCAGTGGAAGATGAATTATGTGTTGGAGAGTGTAGATACAAGCAGAGTGGTATAGTCCATCCCTGAGCACTCTCTAAGCCTGGCTCCCTGTAGGTTATATGTCTGCTCTTTTGAAGGCTTGACCCAGTCTCACCATGACGCAGACCCAGGGTCATCTTCTCCAAGAAGTCTCTCTTGAAATTTAGGTTGGACTAGGTATTTCTAGATCTGAGTTCTATACTCTGATGATAAGAATGTAAACTATTGGCTGGGCTCGGTGGCTCAGCCTGTAATCCCAGCACTTTGGGAGGTCAAGGTGAGTGGATTGCCTGAGCCCACAGGTTCGAGACCCGCCTGGGCAACTTGACGAGAACTCATCTCTACAATAAATAAAAAATTAGCTGGGCGTGGTAGCGCGCGCCTGTAGTTCCAGCTACTTGGAAGGCTGAGGCGGAAGGATCGCTGGAGCCCTGCAGGTCGAGGCTGCAGTGGCCGGGAGCGGCCACAGCACTCCAGTCTGAGTGACAGAGTGAGACTCCAACTCAAAAAGAAAGAAAAAAAAAAAAGAATGTAAACTATTTATTGATTTTTGGAGAGCAAACCCGCAATATGCAGCAATACATAAATAAAAGTTGAAGACAGCTAAAAAATAAATTTTGCATTTCCTCCATCTAACAATTTCACTTCTAGGAAATTATCTTAAGGAAATAATCAGACAAATGCCCAAAGATGTGTTAATGGAAAACAAAATCTCAGAACCCCCCCAACTCACTATGCCAAAGGGAAGCATTAGGCTTGGGAACTGAGTCACACACACAACACAAAATGCCTTCCTTTTGTTCCCAAACGCATTGCTGTAATTTCACATACTTTATCTTATGTTGTTAAACCCAAAATTCAAAATCTGAGAGACCACCAAAAAGCCAACTCCGATGCAAACACACGAGGGTCTTTATTCAGGCTCAAGTCTGGGCTCACGTATGAAGCCGATGCAGCAGCTTCAGGGACTAGAGGCCCGACCCAGGCTAACACGCACCTTTTATACATAATTCTGAAGGGGTGGGGTGGCTTTACAAACTTGTGCACACAGGATTGGATAAAAACTATGTGACGCAGTTACAAAGACTTTGATTGGTTGATTCGAGTTTGATACAAACTTGTACACACAAGATTGGATAAAAACTATATGACACAGTTACAAAGACTTTGATTGGTTGATTTGAGTTTGATTTGCACAGGCTCAGGCTTAGTTACTTGTGATGGACAAGTAACTGCCAAATGGACAGAATGGAATGCCAGATAAGCTAGGTTTAGCAAGCAAGCAGAAGGTTTGAAACAACACCAAGCTTACCAGGAGAGAGACGCCACAGAGGCTACCACAATTTAAGCAAAGGAATGTCTTTTTTGAGTTTTTTGGAATCTCTTGAGTCTCTCAATGTAAAATATTGATTTACTGTGGTAGCACGCCTGTAGTTCTAGCTACTTGGAAGGCTGAGGCGGAAGGATCGCCGGAGCCCAGTAGGTCGCGGCTGCAGTAGCTGGGAGAGTGCCACTGCCCTCCAGCCTGGGTGACAGAGTGAGACTCCAACTCACAAAAAAAAAAAAAAAAGTAGATTTACTGAGCTTGAGATGAATGTGTAATTGATTTTCTCCCCACTTCTGTCTTTTCACTTGTAGAATGTGAATTCAGTGAGCACTAATCAAAGCCTCACAAGAATAAAACCACTTACCTCAATAAAACCACTATCCTCCCCGTCTTTTTTTTCCCCCTTTCTTTCCTACCTGCTCTTTCCCCTTTAAATACTAAAGTCCTTAAAACCTCTTTGGAAAAAGCACAGGACAGAGATGCTGATATGACCTGTTTCTTTTTCTTGGGCATGTCCTCAGCAAAATAAACATCTAAATCGATGAAGATTCATCTAAGTAACTCTTTGGTTTAGATGTATGTACAGGAATCTGCAACACAATCAATGCAGCACTGTTAATAATAGCAGAAAATTGAAAATAACCAAAATTTCCAAAATTGAGGATTTATGGCCTAAATATTGATAAGCAAAAAGTGAAACACCAAAAGAATTGTTAAAAAGCATAAAGTAGCCGGGCTCGGTGGCTCAGCCTGTAATCCCGCGCCTTTGGGATGCTGAGGTGAGTGGATTGCATGGGCCTGCGGGTTCGAGACCCGCCTAGGCAGCGAGACCTCATCTCTACAATAAATAAAAAAATCAGCCGGGCATGGTAGCGTGCGCCTGTAATTCCGGCTACTCGGAAGGCTGAAGTGGAAGGATCGCCAGAGCCCAGCAGGTCGAGGCTGCGGTGGCTGGGAGAGGCCACTGCACTCCAGTCTGGGGCGACAGAGTGAGACTCCAACTCAAAAAAAAAAAAAAAAAAGCATAAAGTAAGCCGGGCTTGGTGGCTCAGCCTGTAATCCTGCGCTTTGGGAGGCTGAGGTGAGTTGATTGCCTGAGCCCGAGGGTTCGAGACCCGCCTGGGCAACTTGGCGAGACCTCACCTCTACAATAAATCAAAAAATCAGCTGGCTGTGGTAGCCCGCGCCTGTAGTTCCGGCTTCTAGGAAGGCTGAGGCAGAAGGATCGCCGGAGCCCAGCAGGTCGAGGCTGCGGTAACCGGGAGCTTGCCACTGCCCTCCAGCCTGGGCGACAGAGTGAGACTCCAACTCAAAAAAAAAAGCATAAAGTAAGGCCAGGCGATGTGGTTCACACCTATAATCCCAGCACTTTGGGAGGCCAAGGTGAGAGGATTGTCTGAACTCATGAGTTTGAGACCAGCCCGAGCAACTTGGTGAGACCTCATCTGTACAATAAATCAAAAAATTAGCTGGGCATGGTGATGCATGCCTGAAGTTCCAGTTACTTGGAAGGTTGAGGTGGAAGGACTGCCTGAACCCAGCAGGTTGAGGCTGAGGTGGCCATGAGTGTGTCACTGCACTCACTTGCCTGAGCAAGAGTGAGACTCCAACTCAAAAAAAAAAAAAAAAAGCATTAGCCGGGCATGGTAGCGCAGTGCCTATAGTTCTGGCTACTTGGAAGACTGAGGCGGAAGGATTGCCGGAGCCCAGCAGGTCGAGGCTGCGGTGGCCCAGAGCAGCCACTGCACT